GTGTGTGTGTCTGTCTGCCTGTGTGTGTGTGTCTGTGTCTGTCTGTGTGTCTGTGTCTGTCTGTGTGTGTGTGTCTGTGTGTGTCTGTGTGTGTCTGTGTGTCTGTGTGTCTGTCTGTGTGTTTGTCTGTGTGTGTGTCTGTGTGTCTGTCTGTGTCTGTGCTGTGTCTGTGTGTGTGTGTCTGGTGTGTGTGTGTCTGTGTTCTTATTTTGCCGCATATATCTATCATATGTGTATGTGTGTGTGTGTCTGTGTGTGTGTCTGTGTGTGTGTGTCTCTGTGTGTGTCTGTGTCTCTGTGTCTCTGTCTCTGTGTCTCTGTGTCTCTGTGTCTCTGTCTCTGTCTCTGTGTCTCTGTGTCTCTCTGTCTCTCTGTCTCTCTGTCTCTCTGTCTCTCTGTCTCGCTGTCTCGCTGACACTGTGTCACTGTGTCACTGTGTCACTGTGTCACTGTGTCACAATGTCACAATGTCACTGTGTGTGTGAGTGTGAGTGTGAGTGTGAGTGTGTGTGTGTGTGTGAGTGTGTGTGTGATTGTGTGTGTGAGTGTGTGTGTGTGAGTGTGAGTGTGATTGTGTGTGTGATTGTGTGATTACGTGTGTGATTGTGTGTGATTGTGTGTGATTGTGTGTGTGATTGTGCGTGTGATTGTGTGTGTGATTGTGTGTGATTGTGTGTGTGTGATTGTGTGTGTGATTGTGTGTGTGATTGTGTGTGTGATTGTGTGTGCGATTGTGTGTGCGATTGTTGTGTGATTGATGTTTTGTTGAAAAAAAAGTATTTTTTTTTTTGTGTGTGATTGTTTGTGTGTGATTGTGTTGTCTGTGATGTGTGTGCGATTAGTGTGTGTGATTGTGTGTGTGATTGTGTGTGTTGATTGTGTGTGTGTGATTGTGTGTGTGATTGTGTGTGTGCATTTGTGTGTGTGTGATTGTCATTTGTGTTGTGATTGTGTGTGTTGATTGTGGCGTGATTGTGTGTATTGTGGTGTTGTGATTGTGTGTAGGATGGTGTGTCGTGATGTGTGTGAATTTGTGTTGATTGTGTGTGATTTGTGTGTGTGATTGTGGTGTGAGTGGGTGTGAGATTGTGGGGTTGTGATTTTGCGCGTGTGTTTGTGTGTGAGTTGTGTGTGTGTGATGTGTGTGTGTTGGTGGGTGTGATTGTGTGTGTTGATTGTGTGTGTGTGAGTGTGTGTGATTTGTGTGTGATTGTGTGTATGATTGTGTGTTGATTGTATTGCGTGTGAGGTGATTGTGCGTGTGATTGTGTGTGTGATTGTGTGTGTGATTGTGTGTGTGATTGTGTGTGTGATTGTGTGTGTGATTGTGTGTGTGATTGTGTGTGTGATTGTGTGTGATTGTGTGCGATTGTGTGTGAGTGTGATTGTGTGTGATTGTGTGTGATTGTGTGTGATTGTGTGTGATTGTGTGTGATTGTGTGTGATTGTGTGTGTGTGTGTCCTGGGGCCCCTTCAACCGCGTGCCCGAGGAGGCGCTCGAGCGGCGCACGTTCGGGCACCGTCGGCCCGCATAGGAAGGAGGGGCAACCTACTCCCAAGGGTACCCTTTGCATCCTTTGCCTCCTCGGTGCAGCCTTGGCCACTGTCGTTGGCCGCGCCCCGCTCGGAAGCTTCGAGATGGGCTTCCAAGGGCCTTGCATCCTTATCGCCCATCCTCACTATACGGGTTGACTGTATAGCCAGGACCCAAAGTAAGGGGACCCTGTTAGTAGTAGGGCCCCTCAGCCCTCAAGCTGGCCAGAATCACACTGAACCAGGTCCGCTGTAGCTGGTGTTTTTTTCGTGAGACGGCAGTAGTGGAACGGGGGGCAGGGGGGGGCCCCCAGTTTGCAGCGTTAAACCAGGCCCCACTAGACCCAGTTGTGCCAATGCCCGACACGTGTCTTTAATTCGGGCATGCCCCTCTGCAGGAGAAGTATTCAAAACTGTTCTTTAAAAAATCAGTCTGGGGACGAATTCTTCTATTCTTCATCATTGTTGAATATGTTGGGTGTATGTCTTATCTGTCGTCCAACATCCGCCTGTAGGAGGACATGCCCGACCGAAGCGCATCTTCACCCCACGTCGACTGCCCCCCGTGAACAGGCACCCGAGGCTGGCTGGCGGGTCGGGACTGGGCCCCGGATCGCGAGGCCGACTCGCGGGGCGGCCCCGCGGAGGACCAGACTGGACGACCCCCCCTCTTTGCCGCCCCGAGAGGGAGGAGGAGGAGGAGGAGGAGGAGGAGGAGGAGGTCCGTAGCCATTTTGGCTCAAGCCGTTTTGGCTCAAGATATCGCCGTTTGCGGACCAAGGAGGCGTCTGGACGCATTTCGGCATTGCAGGGTGGGAGCCCTTCAACTCCCAAGCGAACGTTGGCCCCGTCCAACAACCCCAAGCGTGCCCCGCAAGTTATGAGCCGTGCCAGCCATGCGACAGTCAAGTGCCTCCAATGCGGGAACGCTAAGAACCCGTTCTGGTATTCTTACTGATACCATTGCTCTGCAAGTCTATTACATGGGCCTGCTATTACACTGGAGATATCCCCAATTGGCAAATGGGCTTCCCGCTTCACCGACCTCTCGAGTGGGCCGAAAGGTACAAAGGGACCCAGGACCAAAGGCAATGGCAAAGGCAGTACCACAAAAGGCAAAGGCAAAGGCAAAGGCAAAGGCTACGGAAAGTTCACCCACCCCTCCCAACCCTACGACCTGCATTGGGGAGGTGGTGGGGGCACGAAGGGAGCGTGGAAAGGCAAAGGAGGAGGAGGAGGAGGAGGAGGAGGAGGAGGAGGAGGAGGCACACCCCGCCCAAAGCTCAACGGGCCCACCCTTCTCAACCTCCTGGTCCAGCATGCCCACTCCAAGGATTGTTCAGATATCCCTGAGCACCTCATCCCCCAGTTGGACTCCCTCATGCAGGATTATCGCAGCTCCAAGGAACAGGACCTCCCTAAGTCCAAGCGCCTTCTACGCGTGGACCGGCAGCTTGGTCAGCAGCAAGCAAAGCTGGCAGCATTGGAGAAGGAGCAGGAGGAGATTGAGGAGTTGTTGGGGGCAGTGCAGAAGAGGAAGAAAGAGGTGCTTGAGGAGAAAGAACATGCGCAGAGTGAGATCGACCGATTGGAAATTGAGATTGTCACGTCAGCGCAGGAAGACTCACCAGAGGAAGGTGGATTTTGGCAGAAGTATCAGGAGAAGGACTTTGACGAAGATGAGGAAGAGTATGAGGACCCAGAGAAGGAGGAGCTCCAGTCCACAGTCGGGGCCCTCGCCAGTCGGCTGGGAATTTGGGGGCAAGTTATTCTCAATCATCCCGACCGTGACCAGCTCCTCCAGAAGTTTGACCAGGCAAATGTCCCAGAACCAACCCCGATGGAGGGCACAGGAGGAGTTAAACACAAGGCGTCGGACATGTTGGACCCAGGGGACAAGAATCTGGCCAATGCTCTCAATCTTTCCCCAGAACTCCTTGCAGGGGTCCAACGCGCTTGTCGAAGCTCTGGGAAAAAGCAAAATCCAACTGGGATTCCGCCCCCGCCCTCAGCCCCATGTGCCGCAACCATCGCAGAGGCAGCGGCATCAGCGTCAGCGGCAGCAGCAGCAGTGGCAGCCCCAAAGTGAGCAGATCAGCAGTTTCGAGATTCGTACGCTGAATGTATCGTCGCGGGGCACAGCAGAAGACACATTGCCCCAGCTAGCAGATTCGACAGTCGACGCGCTTCTTATTCAGGAGCACAAGC